CGCTTTCATGACGTCCTCTCGAAGTTTGATATCTTATCCTCATCTATGCTAGAATTATGCTTCTTTAGTTTAAGGAATTGGTGAATATGTAACTTGTATCTGACTGATGGTAGTCTCTTGCAAATGATCATAATGATGATAATGCATTACAGGACACCATACTTCATATAAGCTTACATAATTCTTATCACCGCAAGTCAATTTAAGCCCGGCTCATGGCCGTAAACGAATGAATCTTGCGCCCGCCGCACCGAGATGTTACTTACGCTCATACGATTGAATCGCCGAGACGCGCACTGTTAGAATTAAATTCAGGCCCAGTTGCCTACATGTTCGAAGCATAAATACTTGCCTATTTAGCCCATAGATATGGAATTCTTGTCCCATTATTTTTTTTCTCTTCAGTATGATGGTACTCTACAGAACTCGCTAATCATAACAAATCCAAGTAATTAACACCCACTTACTTGACACGTTACCCTTCTTGTGACAAATTGTTCTTATTATGCTCTCATTTTTTTCTTGCAACTTCGTAAGGTGATTGGCAAACAGATTATTATCCTCCTCCTTAGCCCTTTTACTGGCCTGGTACACTTATATTTCAGCTTCTGAAGATGATTGACCCTCCTCGCTACTGACTGTTGCACCTCGGTGCGAAACCTCCGCCGCACCCGCTACCTTGGCACGCGACGACCCTAGCGACCATCGGATCACCAGGAACCATCTGTAGATACCGAACACAACCTATATCCCTATGTGCTACTGCAGTGTTCCAGCGTTGCAGACGGCTCGAGGACGAGCCTTACGCGTGGTCGAGCGATGTGAACAATACATAGTAAGACCGGATGGCAGATTCACACCTCGGTCCAAGCAGCGGCCTTTCTCCTTGTGCAGGACGCAGGTGTTGCCTTCCTTTCTCTTTTCACACAGGAATAAACATCCGCCCTCCAAGGAAACCACCGCATAAAAGGGCACGTGCCTAAGACGACGGGAGACACGGCAGACAGGCCAGGCCACACCGGGTCCAGCTCCACTACCTCGTCCTCCACCCGGGGACACGGGTTCTCTTGGGGGTCTCATATCTATCTTCAGAAATAAACCAGCAAGTTAAGACCCCTTTCATTGACTGCCCCAAGACTATTTCTGTTACGCTTACATCTAGTGGCTTGCGGTGGTCACTTACGCAACAATATGTGTGTGTGTGTGTGTGTGTGTGTGTGTGTGTGTGTGTGTGTGTGTGTGTGTGTGTGTGTGTGTGTGTGTGTGTGTGTGTGTGTGTGTGTGTGTACACACGCATACATATATATATATGTATGTGTGTGTATGCGCGCGCGCGCGCGTGTGTGCGTGTGTGTTAGATGTGTGTGTGTGTGTGTTAGATGTGTGTGTGTGTGTGTGTGTTAGATGTGTGTGTGTGTGTTAGATATGTGTGTGTGTGTGTGTGTGTGTGTGTGTGTGTGTGTGTGTTTGTGTGTGTGTGGTGTGTGGTACATACATACATAAAGACATACAATTGTGTGTGTTATATATACATATATACACCCACACACACACACACTTATATATATATATATATATATATAGTATATATATATATATTAATATATATATATATATGCACATATATATACTATATATATATATATATATATATATATATATAATATATTATATATGTGTGTACACACACGCATACATATATATGTGTGTGTGTGTGTGTGTGTGTGGTGTGTGTGTGTGTGTGTGTGTTGTGTGTGTGTGTGTGTGTGTCTGTCTGTCTGTTTGTCCTGTCTACATATATATAAATACAGACTAGAAGTACCACCTCCCTTTTCCATTTAACCAGTATATTTTTTCTCAAAATAATAGCTGGTATTAATGCGGGTCATGCAGTGATCTGTATCAAACAGCAAGGTATTTATTGTGTATTTTACAATGAATTATGCAGTCCACATTGATAAACTCTAACATGAAATATTTATTCCTAGGCGTAACTTGGGGAGCCACTTCTACCATTTAAAATGTTTGTATATTGCACAGGTCGTAATATTTTGAAATTTTGTTATGCACACTGTTGTAGCTAGGGTGTGAACAAGTATTCAATTGATTCATGATTGGATATTACTGATAATCTATTAATTTTGTTCGCATATCGTTTCAAAACAAAAGTGAACACTCAAATAACATGCAAAACACAATGAAGTGTTCAAAATGTTTTGCAAAATATAAGGTTTATTCCTGAATGAGTTCGCTACTCTTTATACTGTACACATGTACTGTCTACCACAATGCCACATCCCCACAAACTGGCTCTGCTTATGATTTCCAAAATACAGCTTTGCTACTAACTGTATGTAAAAGGGGTATTCTGGCCTACGAGCTTATAGTTTAGACTTAGATACTGTATACCCGGAAGACTAAAGTAAGCTCAGCCCAGTTTTACCCCGGCGATTATTCTGGACTATCCCTAACTATATCCGGGTACATTCTGAGGGAGGGT